AATAAATATAACAGGTAATAAAAATAAACAGTTATGAATATCATGCTAAAATGAAATATTGCAGGGCACACTGAGTACAGTTCAAAATGATAAGTGCACAAGCTGCTGCTTAAGGCAGGACATACTGCCTAAATCTAGTCTTAGTCTATATATTTATCTCCCTAAATCTTGTGTTTATCTAGCTACAATATTTTGTATCTACTTATTTTAAGAATAAATTGTATGTATTTATCTATTGCATAAATTAACTTACATTTCAACTTCACCTAAATAGCTTAAACTTCAGATTAAAGCTCACTTTCAGGAGAATTAGTTATGCATTTCTTGTTTTAAGGATGTTTAGATATTAATACTATAATATACTGATTAAAAATAGTATTTATACTATATTTTTGTCTATACACTGCGTAATATATACAATCTTGTTCTTCAAAAGGGTTTTACACTAGACAACTACACCTCTCAGATTCATTGTACTGTACCAAGTGATGCTGTATATTAGGATATGGACTTTTAACACTGTATATCAAACAGTACCTTGTTTATCCTAAACTACCTGGAGGACAAATATATTATGGTTGAAAATAAGAGACAGTGCCAAAGAAATAAATCAGTTTATTGAACCCATTCATCGCTCTGTAAGGCTAAAGAATGTGGACTAATTTACATTAGCAATAAAAGCAGGGACTTTCACGTTCCTTCTCAGACCCCACCGGTTTCCGAGATCTGGCAGTGGAGGCAAATTGCCCTTGTAATTCAATGACATTACCTGAGCCGCTTGAACAAGTGAGTGACCGGCAGACAAATGAGATCCATATTGAGAAGCCTCATATCCTTCAGTCTCACAGATACATATTTACAGCTCACTTATCTCAAAGTCTTTATCTCAAACTCTTCAGTATTTTTAGACCTGCCATTTGCAGCTTTTAAAATTAAACACTTTCTATTCATTTTTCTTAGCAGAGTGTGTAGTTCCAACATCCACCAGCAGGGGCTGATGCTAACCAGCCAACAGTACCTATGGGCCTATTGAAGGGTAACCAACTGTGTTACATTAGTTTTGTGGTAAATGGCTAATAAATGAAAGGAATAGCTCACTCAAAAATACAAATTTAGCATTACAACACTTGCTCACCAATGGATCCACTGCAGTGAATAGGTGCCGTCAGAATGAGAGTCCAAACAGCTGATATATACAACACAATGATCCACAAGAAATCCACATGACTCCATTCCATCAATTAATAAAAAAAGCTAGTTTGTACTAAACCGATCAATCAAGACAAATTTAACTTCACACCACTGCTTCTGGCTAAAATAGGAATCCTCTATACATAGTGCTGCTTTCTCCAGTGAAAAAGTCATATATTTTGAATCAGGAGAGATCTGCACAGATCAAGCACTGTTTAAAAACAGTCCAAAACCAATACGTTGGTGGATATTGATGTGAGAAGACAACTGGGTATGGACTTTTTCACTGAAGGAAGCATTATTATGGATTATAGACTCATATTTTGGCCAGAAATTATGGTTTAAAGTTAAAACACCTTGATGGAATTGTTTCTTACTGACAGGCAGCTTTATACTTCACAAGGTGTTGATGGACTGGAGTTGAACTATTCCTTTAAGGTTGATTTAGGTTGTCATAACTGTGACTATCGTAATTCCCTTTATCCACTTGATCAAGAGCTACATGAAAGATGCAGTTTATTTATTTATCTCTGGGGTCTTGAATATTGTCTGTGTCAGAGCTGTTGAAAGGCCGAATCCATTCACGCTCTTCACCGATACCTCCAGGTTGCTCTGAGTCACTCTTTCCTAAGCCTATTACATGATGTACTTAGCAGCTTTTTCTCAAAACAGAGATTAATACAGTCAGCCGGTGTGAAGATAAAACTCCCTGGTTCGACTGTGTATATAAACAAATTCCAAGCATCACCAGTGCATTTTCTTGTGCACATGCCCCTTATTAGTTCCCTGTCAAACTGACTATAATGTTATCGTACGGTGCTTTATTCCTCAGGACATTTTTCAGCTTTGGCATGTGCAATAAGGTGCTGCAGTCTGCACTATAAATTGAAAATCAAATAGATAGCCAAAGTCATTAGCAGTGCTGATGCAGGCAGGGGGATAGGGAGAGTTAATTAGATCTTTCTTCCGGTACCTACCAAGCTGGAATTCAGCTCATTGTTACTCTGTCTGTGTCCAGATCGGAGGCACGGCTGAATAATCATGTTTACCTTGCCACCTTGTCACTTATACTCGGTAACTGCATTAATTTCGCCCATCAATCACTCACTGTCACTCCGTCCCTCCCTCCCTGACCTGTATGTTGCTAAGCTCTGAGAAAATGACTAGACACCTCATTATCTGATACAGGTGGACTAGGAACGTCTGATTAGTGCCTTTCCGTGGGAATCGCGTGGTCAAAGCTCAGCTGGGTTGAGATTCTGACCAGGTATATCCAGCTGTCATCTTTTGACGCACGTCACCATCTGCACCTGTGCCAGTGCCGGCCAGAAACCCATTTGGCTTTGGATGTGTGAATGCTGACTCAGATTTGTGGCAGGATTTCAGTGTTCTGCTTTATGGGATCAGTTCTGAAATGCTGTAAAGGATTTTGATTTAAAGGCTTTCCATCATGTACTCCCGTAATGTGAACCGTACTAATGTGGTCAGAGCTGTAAATGTTTATAGAGAGGTAAAACATGATTGAAGGATGCATCTAAAACCCTTGAGGGACATTCACTTTAGAGTATTAACCTGGTTTCTTGATTTACTAGTAGGTTATGTGTTTCTATTTTAACCAAAAATTTAATTGTTTCTCTTGTTGTTTTTTTAATAAGTTATGTTTTTATTGAGTTTTATTGTGTTGGCTGTTTTTTTTAGTTATTTTTTTAACCTAATCAAAAGAACCCAACTGCAGTTTGATTGAGATTAATTGGAATGCACAATGAAAAAACATGTTTTTTTTTTAATTGTTAAAAACGGAGCTATTTGTTTTTGCAAATGAATTCTTCGTATATACAGTATATATATATATACCTGGTTGGGAAGGTTACTTTGGAAATGTAATAGGTTACAGATTACAAGTTACTCTATTTAAAATGTAATAAGTAGTGTAACTTTTTAATTACTTTATTAAAGTAATGTAACTGATTACATTTGATTACTTATTGATTATTTTTCTAAATTTCTAATGTTTTCAACTGTTAATAATTTTCAAACATGTAAACCAGGTAGGGTTAACCTTACAGTAGCAGTAGCAGTATGACCTCAGGCCCCACCCACGACCGCTGACATACTGTCCCGTATTTGCATATCTCCGCCCTCAGCTAGTTGTACGCTGCCTGTCATTTTCTCTGCGCTCGAGCAGCTGTAGCGACAACAGTCATGTAAGCAATGCAGGTGTTTTGTAGTTGGATGTAGAAGAACATCCCGACATCAGAGCCACTGAGGACACAGTGGATTAGTTCTGTTTTTGATGGTAATGCGCCACCGAATACACCTAAATTCGTTTATGACTGCGCAAATCATTTTACTCTAGTCTGCTTTCTGAACGAGGGACAATTCAGTGCAGGTTTTGCTAAAAAGTTAAAACTCAAGGATGGATCAGTACCCACTGTTCGTGATCCATCTGCACCTCCAGAAGAATTAAATCTCACACTTTATATTTTTTTATAATTACTTGCAAATCGCCTTTGCTCTTCCACAGAAGAGAGGGGCGGGGTGAGCAGAGCTCATTATCATTTAAAGAGACATGCACCGAAACGGGTCGCTGTGAACGCTGCTGTTTTTGACAAGGTAAAAAGGGTGTTGTTTTACACGACCCTTGAGAACAACAAAGTATGTTGCAGACATTTCATGAAGACCCTAAAGAATCATGCCAACTTGTGGAAAATGGGCCTCTGATGTCCTCTTTAAAGCACAGCCTCCACAAAATCAGACTTACTTTGAGATCAATCTGAGGTTAATTACAGATTTAAAATCATAAAAAGAAATAGTTTAATAGCTATGATACTGTTTTTGAAATTAAATCTTTGCATAGCTATGACAGGAAACACTGGCATCTCACAATGCCTGGGAAAAAATTTAATCTAGATCAGTTAATCTAAAAAAATAAAGCATATACATAAACCCAAAATAGGAAATAAAACCGTTATCGAATAAGCATGTGTCCTATTCTGTGTCCTCAACTCCTGAAACATTGGTGTCTCATATTTAAAATCATAAAAAGAAATAGTTTAATAGCTATGATACTGTTTTTGAAATTAAATCTTTGCATAGCTATGACAGGAAACACTGGCATCTCACAATGCCTGGGAAAAAATTTAATCTAGATCAGTTAATCTAAAAAAATAAAGCATATACATAAACCCAAAATAGGAAATAAAACCGTTATCGAATAAGCATGTGTCCTATTCTGTCCTATATGTCCTATGGCCTAAACTCCCGAAACATTGGTGTCTCATATTTTAGAGCAGTCAGTGCATTTTGAGAAAGAAATCAATTAAATCTGTGTTCATGTGTGTGTGAAAAAAAATCAGATGTAACCCCCTTTGTAATCATTTACATTTTCATAAGTAACTGTAATTTAATTACACATTTTTCTCAGTAACTGTAACTGATTACAATTAAATTTATTTTGTAATTAAATTCCGTAATTCCGTTACATGTAACTAACACTGTGTATATATATATATATATATATAGTGATATTTACAACTTTGTTTAATTTACTTATTTAATATGAATAGAAAAAAAAATTGTAAAAATGTAAGTAAAATTCAAATGAAAACGGAAAATACAACAATAAGAACGAATTCAATATTAATAAAAAAAAACTATGGCTCGCAGTATCTCAGTGACACTAAATAACATAGCTCTTAAAATAAGCAGATGGGTATTTGCAAGTCCTGCGCGCACCCGCCTCACTCCTGTGTTGTTGGTTACTAAGCAACTTACGCGCGCCACATAAGCTGCGTCATTTCCTGTGTAGGGACGCGTTGGAGCGACGAGCGAGCCAGTTCAGTCGATCCTCTTGTTCCGACAGCTGAAGGCTAGACGACGAAGACAGTCGATCTCCGTGCAGTGTTACTTTGTTTCTTTGCGCACTTACGCAACGAATAACTTTCCAACCTGTTTGATTTTTTTGTCTATGTAATACAACTGGCGCACTTTCCAAAGGACTAAAGCGTGTTTCAACTTTCTGATATGAGCGTGCCAAAGGATAACAACTTTGCGTTTTAGTTTGGGTGCCATATCCTCCAAATACAGGACGAGTGGATTCGAACCGAACGCTGAACCAGTGCTCTACTTTTAAAACTAATCAACGGGAACGCGTTCATGTGATTATGGTGGTTGTAAAGCTCTGGATTTCTGGGCAAAGATCCTAAACTCCTCCATAAGGGATTCACTGTTGACGACAGAGATATTGGAGAAGACGCACTGGCCACTTGACCCTTTTTTCGCGAGCGCAAGACGCACCGGCGCGCGCTGCTTTCTGTCGGTGTTATTTGGAAGGTGCACTTTCCTGTCTAATATATGGCTTTTATTTACGTTTTTTCCGATTCTTTCTAAAGTTCTGGCTATCACAGTTGTCGGTTTTCCAGCTAAATTGCACATGTCATATTTCTATACATTTAAAATGCTATGATGATGGGATGGAATTTTGATGACTGTATTATTAAATTCATATTCGTATGCCATTAAATCATATAATGTTAATATTCAAACATATCTTGCGCAATTCCATCTGTCACTAAACTTTCGATGTAGCCTATTACTACTAATATATCTGGTAACATTGAATGTTGATTGAATGAATGAATGAATGAATGAATGAATGAAATGTATATTGTTTCATAACAGTGACAGATCACAGTGTTATCTATCCAGGTAACACATGACGTTAAATTAATGCAGCAAACATTAACTACACAACATAAAATGTAAAACATTCCAATTGGCATAATTAAAATTAAACATGAAAATTAAATAAAACATGGTTTACTCATGGAAATCTCTGAATTTTCCCCATAAATTATTCTTATTTTTATTCTTAAAAACATAATGTTACCTAACATCATAATTCCTTGTATAAATTATAACAAACAAACTAAATGTAACTAGACATTGACATTATTACTTTTTTACAGCGTGCTTTAAGTGTTTATTTCAATTCCAAACTTTTTATTTATTTATTATTTGTGCTTTAGGATACTGGCCTAATTAGATGTATGTGTTTGGTTTTGTAGGTCCTCTGTGACCCGTTTGGTGTAATATTAATTATGACAGTGAACATCAAGGCATCGCAGTGCCATGCGCCGCTCCGCAGACTCCTGTAGACTCGGTTCCGGTGCTACTGCAATGCTCGCCGGACCCCACCGCTTCCGCGTGGCTCTGTGATCCAGGCAAAGGGCGCGAGGATGAGCACAGACCTGGAGCGCCTGTCGCTCAACTCTTCCTCGGGCAACTCCGTGGCGTCTAGCGCGCGTACCCTTTCCGCCAACGTGAAGAAGCTTCACAACGCGCTCAACTTGCTGCTCTGCGACCTCGAGAGAGAGCAGTTCATCCACTGCCTCAACGTGTACCACTCCAAGCGCAATGTGTACGACCTGGTCCAGACGCTTAAAGTCATACTGAACGTTCCGAGCAAGCGCCAGCTTCTGCCCATGCTGCGGCTAGTTATCCCGCGCTCGGACCAGCTTCTGTTCGATCAGTACACATCAGAAGGTCTCTATTTGAAATCCGACGTTCTTGCGCGCAATGGTGACCCAGACGGTTCCCACGAGGCTGCTAATTTGAGTCCAACACACGGGGCTCACTTCTCGCCTACTTCCGCGTCTCAAGCCGCTCTGCGCGGGTCTCCTGACACTATCAGCACCAGCAGCGATGGGACAGCGACTCTTATTCCTTTACTGGGAAGAAATTTCTTACCGGAGCCCCCGGGAGAGATCCGACAGTTGACCCTCAAGCGTCACAAGAGCAACGAGGGTTTGGGATTTAGCATCCGCGGAGGATCCGAGCATGGAGTTGGGATCTATGTGTCACTGGTAGAACCGGGATCACTGGCTGAAAAGGAGGGTTTGAGAATTGGAGATCAGATAATGAAAGTTAATGACAAAGTGTTTGACCGGGTCACACACGCAGAGGCAGTTAAGGTAAGCTTTTTTCCTTTAATATAATTTGTATAAATATTTTTTATGGTTAAGTGAGTGTGAATAATATTACTTAAATATGTGATAATTTAAAGAAAATGTATTTACTTATTCCTTGACCGATTCATTCACACATGCTGTTGTTGATATGGGAATCATGCAGTTTTTCTGTCTTTCCTTCTTTGAAAAACTAAATATTACTTCACCCACAGATTGCACCTACAGATTTTGTAGCCACGTTTAGATCACCTGATTGTGGCCAGTCATTTGACCACAGGGAACAGACTGCACTCCTTCTTTCTTGATTGATTATTAATGCAAGACAAGCAGCTGAAAGTGTCCCTTGAAGGACCAGAATGATAAATGCTCACTTTTATTGATATGTGTTAGCCAGAAAGGCCTCTACAAATGTTGATGTTATTGATCAGTGTGTATGGATTAGCTATAATTAAATGATTGCACGTGGCTTATCAATTTTGTATCAGTAACATTTGCTGTCACGTGAAAGTTTCTAGATATACTCAGTATTTCAGTGTAAAGGCATTTCATTGTGCTGTTGTCATTTAAAAGAAGAGCTGACTTTGCCTAATCCTTCACATACTCTCTACGAATCATAATTTATATGAAGTAATTGCACAATTTTGGGCCACACATGTATTATTGATGAGATTTTGTGTGCTGTCCATGGTGCTGAAACAAGCATTGTTCTAGATTGCAATTTTTTTCAAAAGGTTTTTCCCAAGAATCGTATGGTTTGTCAGTTGTATTAAGACCACCGATCTTCATGTGCCACAGCACAGACACCGGTGGACCTCTCAGGAGAAACGCTAAGCGTCATTTCTAAAAGGGCAATTCTCTGAAGTACCCATTATTTTCTACTAGAAATTTAAACATTGCCAATAATAATAAGCAACAAGCTTTGATGCACTTAAAAAGCATATTGAAGTTCACTTTGAGGCAATCTTCAAAAACTGCTTAGATTTTCTCCAAAGACTTACACCATTGTGGCAATCTGGGGAACCTCAAATGAGGCCTTAATTTTATAATTTTACAGTGATCATATTTTTGACAACATTACAAAACATGAAAGCATCTGAAAGTGAAGATAAGGCACATCCCAAGCATATTTCAAAGTACTGGCACATAGCCATTCCACTGATACTGCTTGTTTGACTCTCTCCTATCCCCATGTTTGGGAATCTCTGTAGAGTTGTGTGCCAAGAGAAAATTAACATGAACAGTTTGCCGCCTTTCTATATCATTGTTGCCCTCTTTCCCTGGGGGAAAACTGGCACAATTGAGCAGCAGGGTATAAATTCCTGCCATGCTGCCTTTCTTAAACAGAAGCTGGCAGAGGGGGGAGGCTGCTTCCTCCCAGTTAATCATATTGATCTGCATGAGTAAATGGACGAGCCTCTCCCCCAGGCTGAACATGACCTTCTGCTTGTCTTGATTCTCTTGTTGTCATGTAATGCAGACATAGTCTGGGTAAAGACACAAGAACTGTCTGAGCAGCCAGAACAGAGAGAGATAGACGGGGGTTTTGCTAGGTGCAGATAATTTCAGCACAGTGTACATTTGATCGGTGCCTTCCTGTGCTCCCTGAATGCTAGCAGGCAGAGTTATCTCTCATTTTTCTAGTAGAAGGAAGAACATCTATTTTAGTTAAAGTGAGGATTTCCTCTGGGCTCTGTTGACCTTTGTGATGTGTAAATGAACCCTGAACGTTATCCGTTTTGCTTTTGCTTTTTCTTTCTTGGATTATTTTGGTGTTTTCAGACATAAACACCAAAATAATACACCTTTTTTTAATAGAAGTTGTGACAACTTCACACGTTCCAATGCAGCTAAAATTCTAGTTGGTGGAACTCATGGTAAAAGTAACAGTATCTGTGTCGGAAATTGCATACTCTCTTCAGTGGGTGCTTCTTTTGAATAAGTAATTGCTTTGCGACTAATAAAAAGGTTATTTATAGTATAAATGAAGTCCAAACATACAACATTCATCATGTTGGCATTATCATGTGACCTACCAGTTGGTATGCCATTCATAAATCCTCTCCCGTGGCCTCAACGGGATAGTGAAGTTTCCATTAAATGCACACTTAAGAATCTTACCAGAAGTTGGTCATCTGGTTACTTTTTGCTTACTGTGTGCCTGTGAAGTTCATACTAATCTTTTTGAATATGCTACACTTTTTACATAGGCCTACAGCTTTTTTTGTTGCCCTCGCTGCCTTTTAAAAATAAAGGTTCTTTATTGGCATCAGTGGTTCCATGAAGAAACTTTGACATCCATGGAAACTTTACATCGTACAAAATCTCACTGAGAAACTGATAAGAACTGTTCACCAAATGGTTTTTTGGGGAGCCGATGCAAAATGGTTCTACTACCCCCACTGTGGAACCTTTATTTTTAAGAGTGTACTTAAACTATGTAGTAGGGAAGTATGCATTATTGGATGCAGCCACTGTTCTAACCTGTTGTCTGTCCATACAAGAAAGCAAAAGAGCTGTGAGATCCAGCAAAATCACAGCCAATCGGAACTTATTGGAGCAAAATTTTAGGCAAATGCGATTTCAGAATGGGTGGAGATATCCAGGCCAGTGCCAGTGGCTGGTTAGAATAAAAAAAATCATGTTGCTGTATCATGTTGTGTCTGGTAAGGAGGTTTGCTGAGGTTTGTGTACACAATGTTTCGAAATGAGGAAGAAGCACTCTTGCAGGCGGTTGAGCTGGACTGACATCATTATTTCTCTGCCTGTGTCTTCTAAACTTTTCTTGTTTGTATGTCTAGTTGTCTGTCTGACCAGCTATCTCCAACTCTCTCTGTGGGTCTTCAGACTCCGTGATGAGGATGGATTGTACATACAGTGGGTGACCTGTTTGCATCATCTTTAAAGGCTATATTGAATGTGTGTGATGCCCTTTGGCATCTCATGATTGGTTGGTCTATCCGCATGGCCTTCAGTGTTTGTTCACAGAGCTGCTGTGATAGCCCATATGATCAATGATCTTTCCTCATCTCCTGTTTCAAGGGTGACCCCATATAAGATCACCTGTTAAGTCGAGTTGATTTAATTTTAATGCTGGGACTGCCAGGGTGCCCGTGGCTCAAAGTTAGAGGAGGTTGCCTCTTGCCTTTGTCTTGACACTGAGAGATGATTAAGACAGAAGTGTTTACCAGCTAATCGTCAAATGCTGCTTTGCAATCTCAGTTAGAACCAGGCTAGAAGATTCATCACTATACCAATGCCTCTAACTGTACGTGTCCACTTGTGTGGAGCTGAGTGAGCATTTTCAATTTGTTCATGGGAGCTGAGTAGCAAGTTCATTCAGGGCATTGAGATATTGACAGCAGCAGAGCGGTACATGCAGTGATAGAATCAAAAAGTTGAGAAATACTAAATGTTATGCAAATGAGAGGCGAAAAATGGAAGGTGGCCGTCACTGTGAGAAGGCGGCAGTGGCATATATAATAATTTTTTAAAGTGCATAGTGGATTTAGTGCATAAATCACATTGTTGCATAATACTGTATTTAACTCAGATGTCAAATGCCTTTACATGCTTTCATTGACACTATGTGTATAGTTATGTCACTTAAGTCACACTTAAAAGCATAGTCCACTCAAAAATAAACATTCTGCAATCATTTACTCACCCTCAAATCTTGCCAAACCTTTATGAGTTTCTTCTGCGGAACACAATAGAAGATATTTGAAGAATGTTGGTTACAAAACAGTTTAGTTGCTATTGACATCCATTATTTTTCACATTACAATGGAAGTTTTTGTGAACTAGCCTATCCATTTACAAATGTCTGAATTTCATTGCATTAGATTCAAAATATCAAATCAAGTGTCTTCTGCAATCAGATGATGCTAGGGCTTTTCTCAAAACTAACTTTACTTTTCTGAGACACTTTTAAATGTATTTTTAGCCAACTGGTCTTGATGTAATTTTTCTTGTGTCATTCATGTCATTCCCTTAGCAGAATATCCAGTAGTTCATCATATAAATATATAGATTGAACAAGATTTTTGTCTTCTTTCTGAACAATATGTCTATTGCATTGTATATTTAAACCTATCAAACTTTTTTGTGGAATGTCTTAACTGAAAGGTAGGCTACTTGTGCTATATTTCTTTATACTTGTTTTGATATTTTGTTATATAATGCAAATACATTTATCACATTCATGGCTAAAGTGTCCAAATATAGAGCTGTCATGTTAATGCTTGTGAATGATATAAAATGTTTAACACATTAATTTATTTTAATCACAGTTAACACACATATTTACAGTATGTAGTCATGCTACCTAATGTGAACTTGTATTTTAGTGCATTTCTGTTTTTGTACTGTGGAAAGTAAGGTTGTGACGGTGAAGAAATTTTCCCACCGGTTAATCGACGTGTGACAACACCGATAATACCGGTATCACCGTAGGGGAAAGGGCGTTCCCTCTTTTCCTCGCTTTTAATTAGCTTATAAAAGTGCCGTGCGCATTTTACTTTCACTTTCAAATAGAGGCAATTCGGCTTAAAGCAATTGTTCGTTTTTAGTTCGTTTGAATTTTCCCTCTTTTCCTCACTTTCCTTCGCTTTTAAATAGCTTAAAAGCGCCGTGTGCATTTTACTTTACCCAAAAATGAAAATTCTGTCATTGATCGTTCTAAACCCGTAAGACCTTCGTTCATCTTTAGAACACAAATTAAAGGGGTCATATGATGCGATTTCAAGTTTTCCTTTCTCTTTGGAGTGCTACAAGCTGATTGTGAATAGATAAGATCCCTGAAGTTGCAAAGACTAAAGTCTCAAAACCAAAGAGATATTCTTTATCAAAGTTAAGACTCTGCCACGCCCCCCTAAAACGGCTCGTTCTAACACGCCCCCACATATCTACCTCACTATGTGGCAATATTAGCATAATGCGGCCCAAATGTGCACGCAAAGAAAGAAGGCGTGGTTTCAGTAACCGCAGTTAGTGTTGAAGCAGCC